TATTTTTATACTGTAATTATATTATATTATTCTCGCTCTCTCTCTCTCTCTCTCTCTCTTGTTATAACTTAGATTATGCCTTAGATTTTGAATATTGATTTGAGTGTTTACCACAAACTTCAGTAAATACTGAGCGCTATCAATGATAGCCTATAATGAATGCATTGCTAAACATGTAAATAATTTATTTTGAATACAATGCATATTATAAAGTATAATGACTTATAATTACAAACATATGATAATATTTAGAGGCAATTCATTAATTGCTTACTTGAAATTCAATGTCCATTCCGTAATCGTTAGTTAATCTAAGCCTTAGATCTCCTCTCAATTTGGCAACAATTGTATTGAAGCGCAGAATCCAAACAATTCCGAGGATTCCGTCGCCGAATAAAAGCACAATCATTAGGAATAAGTATAAGTTTAGTAAATTCTCGTTAAGCCTTATCGCACCAAAGCATCCGATCGCCTGTCAAATCACATACATGTCAACCAAAATATACATTGTATTAGAAATTATTTCATTTTTCAATATTATATTATTTTAATTAATATAAATATTGTGTGAATAGAATATATTTAAATACTTATTATTAATTATATTTAAATGTGATAACACAACGAAAGAGTGAGCGGGAGGGAGGGGAGAGAGAGAGAATAATATAATATAATTACAGTATAAAAATATATAAATAATACCTTTAAAATTCATATAAAATATAAGATAACATGTTTTGATTATTTAAAATAATTCTTATCAAATGATAGTTTTAAATAATTGACGAAAACTATATTTTATCCACAAAAAAGACTATATTTGGCTATATATGCAATGATAAAAATTGGGAAAATTAAACGCTCTCTTATCATTTGATGGGCTAATAAATCATAATTTGTGATATATTTAAAAATGAGATTTTAATTAGAATTTTGACAGAAAATTAATTATATTATCCGTTATACAGTATAACACTATTGATTGTAACAAAAGCATATGACGTGCAAAATGCCAACAATTTTATATCTTTATAATTACCTAAACATATAATTTCTAAGAATTTTGAAATATTATGATTTAGTAACTCATAAATGGCATGTTCTCTACCAAATAATGTGCTCATCTCATCACTTTTGAATATATTGTAAATACATTCAAAACAGACTAAACATTCGTTAAATTCTTGTATTATATCAATACAAAAGAGCAGCACAATAGCAATTAAGGGCATGAAATTATTTCCAGTTGTAAGTTATATTTTATAGTTTAAGCATTTCAGTTTACACATATTCCACTCTACTTTTATTAATTAAACATTATTATAATTGATAAATAATTAAATTTGTTATATAATTAGTTTTAATCATTTGGTGTAATGTTATTACATTCACTTAATAACATAAGAATGAGATCTCTCTCTCTCTCTCGCTCTCTCTCTCTCTCTTTCTTTCTTTCTTTCTTTCTCTCTCGTTAAGATGTTAGCACTAATGTTAGAGAATTTATATAAATTTGTATCGAGTTCTGCATTGATTGAATATGTGAATAGAATTGTGGTTAATAATATCAATTGCTTATATAATTTGCATTGTGTCTGTAATGTTGTCAACAGTACTGTATAGTATGTTGGATATAATGTAAATAAAGTGTATGCTTTGATTGATATCTTTCAATCTAAGCTATTATTTTGTGGGAATGTTTGCATTGACAGAAAACATGCATTTACGTGGAATATGCAGGCAATTGTACATAAAATCTAATATTAAACATAAAATCTAACAAAACATTTAAATATAAAGCAGATAAAAATGATGATTACCTGTAGTACTCCTCCCTGAAGAATAATAGCACAATAACTGTAGAGAAATGTTGGCTCATATAACTTGATTGAGGGAAATAACATCATTTTTTCGTCGTTTAGCACATATATAAAGGCAATGAGATATATAAGAGTCGCGACCATTAATGCGATATTACACGAGTAGATCCAGAATCTGTAATATCTCATGGCCCTATTCA